AAAAAAAAAACACCTTAAAGTTAACGACAAGGATTTTATGTAGTAGAGTAATAATAATAAGTAAACTGTCTCGGGTCTCATAGCTTGCATGTCTTTGCTATTTAATATTTATAGTCATTAATTAGAAGATGATCGAGTTTTATACAGTATAGTTTACTATAATATCATCTAATTAATTAACTTTCTCTTATAATCATTTTAATTACTATAAATCGATGTAATTACGCATAACCACTTATAATGAAAGACTTTATATAACGAAGGTATAATTGGAGAATAGCTCGTAAAACGATATGATCGATGGTGAGAAAACTGATCTAACCAGATGGAATTAAAGATAAAAAATATTATGATTATGCATATGATTCTTGTTAACCCTTATAGCTCAGGCTGAAATGTAGGGAGATGAGGCATTCTATTATTGGCCTTAGGAGAGTTTCAGCCTTTGTGTCAGGATGCTGGCTCTAATAATGTCCAAATCAACATAGAAAAAATTAACAACACACTTTTTAATACACAGCTGTTAATATTTTTTTTATTAATTAAAATTATTAAAAATTATAAAATTATAAAAAAAATTAAATATAACATAAGATTCATCAACTTTTATGATTTTTAATAAATATAAACTAATACAATAAAATATTTAAAAGAGTGGATTAAATATTATATTTATATTATTTTTTATTTGAAAAAGAGTAATAATTAACAACAAATTTTATACTATCAGTTTTGTATGTATTTATTTGTATCATTAACAACTGTAATAAATAGTGTCTTTTCCCATTAATAAATATGAATCTTAGTGTGTAGTATACATGTATATATATAGAATAGAAGGCAATGATCGATACAAGTTTTTTGCTTCCATTCTCATTGCCAATATTGTCTAAACAAACATGGACTTGGACGCCTGTCTCGAGTCAAAGAGATTGGTCTAGATCATCTACCTAGGCCATCATTTTAAGCTATTGTAATATTCAAACCTAAGATTTCTCATCAGCTGGTAGCAACTAGCTAGCCATGCATATCCCTATTGTGTATCCAGGCAAATTGAACCGTCACATAAATAAAATTAACCAACCCAAGAAATTTGAGATATCTAGTAATAAATTTCAAAGGGAACTTCCAGCAACATGTTTTCAATATAGTTAACTTTTAACTTTTCTTTCCCTTCTTAAGTACAAGATGATGAATTGCATATGCATATGTCCCGCAGTTCATTATTTGATCTGAATAATGAAAATGATAGTTCCAACTAACGCAAACGGGGCTAATTTTTTCATAGATGGCCACGCTTTTTCTGTCAATGAAAGGTTAAGCTATTTACTATTCTTGTATGTAAGGTAGGTGTGGAGGTTGAGACCCACGCTGTGAGTAGGTTCAACATTTAATCATCTTTGTACCTTGATAACTATGTAGTGCTCAATTAAGTACAACTTCTATATGCAATTTTTTTCATGAGATTATGTTAGATATGGTTAATTCAACCTACTTATGGCATAGGTCCTACCTACTGCAACTTGTCACAAACCTTGAACAAAACTATCGTACCCAATGAGTAATGGCCATGGCCATCATAACTATCTAAATTAGTTAAACCGGTATACGCTCGTTTTATTTTAGTTGTGATACAAATTCATAAATATGTACGATTTACATGCTTGATTAATGATAATGAAACTAAGATCGATCGTTAACTTTGTTTGATTTTTACTACTGAGCTATAACCCAATCATGTACAACCAATGATATTTATATATTATCAGTATTATATTGTCATCTCTATCAAGACTACACCATATAACTAGAACGAAAACAAAACTCTGGCATTTAACTAAAAGTTTGTATATTATTATCAAGCATGTAATGAATAATATATAATTAATGTTTGAAATTTCAAATATATGATTAATACTTTATATAAGTGAAAAAATATTCTTTAATTTATAAATCAGTTTTATAAGATTAAGTTAGACGTACTTAGATTGTGTTTGAAAATTAGTTGAGTTGAAAAAAAAATTACACTTGCAAACTTTTATTTTTTCTACATTAAAATATACATATTTTTTTGTTGGACGTAATTTTAAATTAATTTCTAAACATATACTTATACCTACACTCAAAGTTAATATCAAAACATGTATTTAATTTTGTAAATTTCATTAATGTTTGATTCTTGTGTGTGAGATGTGTTAGAGTATATAAATAAAGATAATTATTATCTTACAATATAATTTTTGAATTACCAGATCACATGTTATTAAATAATTTACAAATGTTTAATTCTACAAATTTTATATTTTAATCTATTTTTTAATATGAAAGAATGCATTAAATATTATATATCAACAAATGATATAAAAAGTAATATATATATATATATATATATATATAAATAAATAAGATAATTCTCAGTTTAGTAAGTTTGTAATATTAAATTTAGGTTAAACTCTTTTTTTAATATATTTAGTGTCACAACTTATAAATAGCATGCGTGCTAAAAGTGGTGGAATGAGTTGGTTGGAAATAATTAACTAGATCTCCTTGTGTGATGAACATATATGACGAAACATTAGTGACGAAAAAGGCAAGAGGGGAGTAAAAATTTGGAGCTACTGGATTGGGAACATAGTACTGTAGAATGATAATGGCCCTGCACCTTCATATGACAATCTGACATGCACCTTAAAAACAATGTTGGACCAGAACGTCATCCATGATTGATTATTCCCTGCAACACATAATTGATCCTTCTTAACTTACAAGTGTCTCGTTAATTTCCTCTTTTTGTGGCTTTTCTGCGCCGATACACAATCCGCATTATACAAACCCTTTACGCCATTTTTCGTGAGACCGTGTATGTATATGGAGAGTGTGGTGTTAGGTCACTATAATCATTGTGGCCATTTAAAATGTACACGTGGATGCCTTTAACAAAGGCCTTTTTGAATATTGGTTGAGTAAAAATTGGATGCCTTCCACACCAAATTAGCTATCAAGATTCAAGCACATTTTAATTATGACAACCCAGTTTTTTCTTTTTAAATAAATCTCCCCTTAAGCCAAGTGTCTATGTGAAAATGGAAGAAAAAAATATCAAATATCAAATTTCATAGATAGAAAGAAGAGACATAAAGAAAACAAAAAAGAAGGAGAAACTAGATATGAATGATATGATAAAAACTGAAAAGAAAGAAAGGAAGAAAAAAGTGAAAATGAGTGTATTTATATAATAATCCTGTAAAAATTGCTTATAATATGTAAAAAAAAGAAACTATATTTATTTTATTGAGTTTTTTTTTTATTCATCTTGATAATAAATTGTTTACAAGAACTTACACATGCTTAATCAATTAGTTAAACTCGCGTGTATTCATTTTCTGAGGCAAAGTACTTGTGGCATATTCATACACGCACATCCACTGTAACATTACTGACAATACTTTTTAATTTATTAATTTCAATATCACAAATTTTTATTTAATCACTCTCTCTATTTTTATTATAAAAAAATATTATTTTTTAAATATAAGTAAATTTAACTACTTTTATATTATTTAATGATATTTTTTCTAAAATACCTATCATTTAATACTTAACATTTTAGTTGTATTATTTCTTTTGATATTTATAACAAGGATAATTTATGAAGAATCTTATAAAAATAACAAAATTTAATGTAAATAATCATTTTTATTATATGTAAAATTGATTATTTTTACTTACGATAAAAAAATAGAGAGAATAATTTATAAAATATGAAAATATTAATTTATTTTAATTAAAATGAATGGATATAGATGTAATATATTTATGGTCAATTCATAATTTAATTTATGATTAACATAATATATATTGAGAGGGATCAAATGATTCAAAAGGTAACTCATTAGCTCATTAAGTACATTAAATTTCAACAATCTAATTGATAAATTAAAAGTTTTTAATGTATATATCAAGGTCATAGATTAAAAAAAATAATAATTATATAATACTTTAATATATAGATTGAAATTAACGTATAAAATATTTTAATGATTATCTGTTGATTTGAATTAATGAAATAAAACATCAAATAATTTTTAAGTTTTTTAAAATTTACAAACTTAGTATATGCATCGAGAACTTTTAACTTAATAGTTTGATCATTAAAACTCAACATATATCACTCCCTGTATATATATATATATATATATATATATATATATATATATATATATTACTAGTAGGAAATGAGATACAAAGTGTTTCTGAATATTTTATTTTTAGAAATTTCAAGAAAAAATAATTAATAAAGTGTGTAATATAAATTTATGAGTAAAATGACTAATAAAAACATAATTATTAAAACTTATTTCTTTCATAGTAAGTATACATTATAAAATTATAAAATAAATATGACATTCATTATCATAATATAATTTTTACATTTTAATAAAAAAAAGCCATAACTATAAAAAAAAAAATATTAAACCGATAGTAAGTATAAGTTCAAAATAAATAAATGTAGAACTTCTAATATTACGAGTTAAAATATGTAAAAAAAAAAAAAAAAACACGATTAATTAAGAAGGACATTTTCAATATCATTAATCGCGTTTCTGTCCAAAAAAAAATTAATAAAATAAAACTTGCATTTAAAAAGAAATTAGAAATGTGAGCTAAAAAAGTCCACTTAATTTGTTAACATATTAAATGAATAAAAAATAGATTCATTTAAATTTAACGTTGAAAAAAGTGCTTTTTGAGGGAAAAAAGTGAGCTTGGTAGACTTAATGATCTAATATAAAATATGAATACTCCATACATATTAATAATATTAATATGATGACTTAACCAATAAAGAAGGACAAGATTAGAATTTGCCAGTTATGTCGCATCCATTATCTTATTTGGGAATAATGAGAAGTCAGCACCATGGAAACAAAACCCGACCAGCCCTTGAGTAGAGTGAAAAAAAGGAGAACACAATAAAAAAGAATAAATAAAAACACCTGCGAAACCAAACCCCTAAACGACACCGTAGCTCAGCAGCTGTTCTCGCTTAAATAACCAGAAAACGACACACCGTTTCTGTCTTCACCTTCACTCTCCGCAACTGCACATTGATAAAACCGTTTCCTCGCATTCCACTCCCACGCAATCACTAAACTCACCGCCGATGTCACCGGCAATTCCAGCGGCTCCACCACCGCAACCGTGACCGATCCTTCTCCGGAACCACCACCTCCGGCACCACCGTAACCGCAATGTCGTCGTCACAGCAGAACATCAAGCAGAGAGTCTTCGCGTGCCTGACCAAACTCTCCGACCGCGACACGCAGTCCCTCGCCGCCGCGGAGCTCGAGTCCGTCGCCCGGAGCCTCGACGCCGCCGCCGTGCCGGCGTTCCTCTCGTGCATGTACTCCACCGACGCGTCGGACAAACCGACGGTACGCAAGCAATGCGTGCAGCTGCTAGGGTTCCTCGCGGAGACGCACGGCAACTTGCTCGCGCCGCACGTGGCGAAGATCCTCGGCAGCGTCGTGCGGCGGCTCCGAGACGCGGACTCGTCGGTGCGATCCACGTGCGTGAGTTCCGTCGCGGCATTGTCGCGCCACGTCAGCAAGCAGCCGTTAGGTTCGTTCGTGAAGCCGTTGGCGGAGGCACTGTTCACGGAGCAGGACCAGAACGCGCAGGCCGGCGCGGCGCTGTGTCTCGCCGCGGCGATCGACGGAGCTCCGGATCCGGACCCGGCCAGGCTCGCGAAGCTGCTGCCGAGGTTCGAGAAGCTTCTGAAGCGCGACGGCTTCAAGGCTAAGCCGGCGCTGCTGACGCTTGTCGGAAGCGTCGTCGCCGGCGGCGGCGCGTCCGGCTACGCGCCGCTGAGGAGTTTGGTTCCGTGCTTGGTGGAGTCGCTGAGCAGCGACGATTGGTCAACGCGGAAGGCCGCGGCGGAGGCTCTCGTGGTTGTTGCCAATGTGGAGAGGGAGTTCTTGCCGGAGTTCAAGGCTGAGTGTGTGAAGGTCTTCGAGAATCGACGTTTTGATAAGGTTTGATGTTGTTATTGGCGGTGAATGGTGATGTTTATTTATGGTAATTTGAAAGTGAATTGAGAGTGTGTGGTGTTTGGTTTAGGTAAAGTTAGTCCGGGACGTTATGAATCAGATGTTGGAAGCGTGGAAGCAGATTCCTGATGTTTCTTGTGAAGTTTCGCCGCTTCCTAAATCGCAATCTTCTTCCAAAGGTATTTGAATTGCTTTTGCCGTTTTGTGTTTAATTGGAGAATCTGAGATGGGCGAGTGTCAGATTTCTTTACAATAATGGAAATACTAATGGTGTTGTGTTTGTTGTTGTACCTTAAAATAGAAACATGAATAGTTAAAGCTAGGGTAAGGGTCTAGGGGAGAAAAGGTGATGGTCAATATCAATATGGGTTGTTCGATTTAGATGAATTCAGAAATTGTCTGCTAAGAATTAGTGTGTTTGGAAAGTCGTTGAGAAATAAGAAATCACGTTTCAGATGTGGGGGAAAACCACATTCGGATGTGGAACCAAACGCACTATTATTTAGGTCGTCATTCATCAATTTGTCAATGTATCTATATAGTTGTATAATTAATTTATTGAGTTGATTTGTCTTTGATTGTTTTTCATACCTCTTTTCTTTTTGGGTTTGTGTTATTGGCTCAGAGAATGCAAGTGATGGGCGGTATCCCCCAGTCTCTCAAAATTCATGTAGTCCCGGTTCAGTGATGGCCAATTTGCGGAAGAAATCTTCTCCTTTTAGCAAATTCAGTCCAGCAGATAGTTCTTCTGCCAGCAATGCTAAGAATACCAGTGCTTCAAGTAGTAACAAGAGAATGAGTTCGTTTGTTTCCCGGAAATTAAACCATAAGAATTGGGATGCTCAGATTGCCATGTCTGATTCTCCCTCTGCTGCCGAGGCAGATCAGGGACATCTTCAGGAGAGGGGTGGAATTGTTTTGGATAGGAGCAAAATGGATAAAAGCAGATTTTCAAAACCAGAAATGAAACGGGGACTGCTAAGTAAGAGTTCTGATGATAAAATACAAAGGTATGGTGGGTCCAAAGCTGGATCTCGTGTGGTTCCATATCATGATGAGAGTCAAGACTCAGTTCCTGCCAGTACTGTCACTAAAGATCTCCATAGGAATGACAAAGAGAGTGAAGATTTGTCACTGATTCGTGATCAATTACATCAGATTGAGAAGCAGCAGTCAAGTCTGCTAGATCTTCTGCAGGTTTGTTCCTAATGCTTAAAACCAAGTTCCCTCGATCAAATTCTTTTATCTGTGTCTGCAAATTAAATTTCTGGAAGGAAGGCTGATCAATATTGTCATTGTGTTCAAACTTCATCCATTCCCTTTTTAGTACATGTAGCATTTGTGCCAATTCTTTAATGACAAACATCTCCAACATGGTCCTCCATGTTGTTACAGACATTCATGGGAAGCTCACAAAATGGAATGCGTTCTTTAGAGACTCGTGTGCATGGGCTTGAGTTAGCATTGGATGAAATTTCTTATGATTTGGCTATATCAAGTGGAAGGATGACAAAATCTGATGCTCCTGGTAACACGTGTTGCATGCTACCTGGAGCAGAATTTTTGAGCTCCAAATTCTGGAGGAAAACACAGACCCGGTATTCAATGCCACAGTTCTCTAGATCAGCTGGCGCACCATCACTTGCTGCCATGAACTACCCAGCCGACAGAAATCCTGAAACCAAGTTGCCAAACCACAGATTTAGACCTGATGGAGGCTTCATCACTAATCCACTGGCAGAGATTCATACGAATTCGAGGAATGCAATTTAAAAGCAGGTTGGCTTTCTAAATACCCCTGGCATGCAATTTCCTTGTAGCTACTATCACATGCCCATCAGAATGCAATATGAGATTAATCATACCAATTAATGCTACTCTAACTCGTGCCCATTTTTCTAATTCCTGTTTTTCTTTTTTTGTAGCTGATTTGCTGCACAATCTAGAATGCAAGTTTGATCTTCTTTTGATTCTCAATCCACTTTGATGGAAGGACACCCTTGAGCGGGACCATGATTTAATCAGAAAATATAAATTTGTTGTGCCACTCGAAAATATTCCATTTAGTCTTGTTCCCATTGAAGAAGGCGTGACGCGGGCTAGACCATACATTCTACATTGCAGCGCAGAATTTGATTTGCATATGCACGATATATCTCGGAGAAGAAGAGCATATTGGAGTGAGTTCGCGACAACATACCACACTATTTTAAATAAGGGTGAATATGTATATGTACATAGTTGTGTCGAGCTTTTGATTTTATGATTTAAGTATTGCATTGTAGTATAATGTATTCGAGTTATGTTAAAAGTGTCTACACTGCTACGCACTATCGGCATCTCATTATTGGATAACAATGCTTCTAGTCCACACTATTCTTCCTGTGCCCTTTATTGTGCTTTTTGTTTAGCTTCTTTTCGGCTAAGTCAAGATTAGACCTCTAAAATATTTCGAAAGGAAAGGATCCAATAAGATTCTCATGTGCAAAACCCCAACCCCAGCGCTTTCTAGGTTCTCGCTTCAATAGTTGGACTACTAAACTATTCTACTTGTCTACAAATTAACGGTAAATTATTTTTTCTCCTCTCATTTTATTTAATCATTTCAATTTGTTTTCTATTTTATTAAAAAATTCAATATATTCTCTGAATTTTCTAAAATAAGTTTTTTTATTCAATTGAGACTAATAACGTTTAATTTATATACACCTAGTGATTCGTGTTATTTTTATTGACGCTCTCAATTAGATGAAAACGATCGCATTGCATCGTTATAGGAAGTTAATAGGTCAAATTGAATCTTCTAATAAGAAAGACTAAATTGAATAAATTAAAGATCAAAAGAATAATTTAACTAAAAATTAAACTTTGGCAAAAAAAAAAAAACATTTTAATTTAATAAGTAATGATTTGACAAGTACTTTTTTTGGAAAAGAAATATTACAATTCGACAATTATTTCTTTATATTATGCTAAAGCTATTCTAAATATGTATAATCTTTTTAAAAGAAAAACAAAATAACATGACTTTGAAATTGAGAAAGATGTAACTTAGAAAGGTAATTTCATACATGTATATCCTATTATATTCACTAAATAGGAAATACATGTATTTTAATTTTACAAAAAGGAAATTAATGTATTTTAATTTAAAAATGATAAATGTATATTTATTATTATTTTTTATTCATTTTTATAAAATTTAATTAACGAATTTACTAAGACTAAGAAATTAATTAATTTAATTAGTAACATTAAATTATTTCTAGATTTATTTTTTGATTTCAAAATTATCTCTAACAATTAATAAAATCATACTCTTATTATTTTCTAAAATATTTTAGTAGTTTTTATACGTTATTTTACTCTCAGCATTTGTCACAGCAGCATTTTCTTTTCATCATTTTCTGTTTCATTTATGACGCAACCATCCAAGGGGCGTTATGTAAAGAGATGACAACCAATCCACAGCCTAGCATGATTAAACAACCCTGCTACAAATTTAAAAGCTTCTGCGACATAAAAAGAAAAAAGGAGAATTCTATCTCCAAGCAACTGTGTGTATCGCCTTATGTAACGAGATGAATAAGACCACTTAAATTAGAAGATGATGTCCTTGATGGATTGCCATGTACAATGCCCTTACTTTGAATTCAGTGGAATTGTATGTCAAGGCAGGAACAAGTGATATGATGCGAATGTTAAAGCTTGTTTCTTCTACTCTACCTAAATCATGATCTTTGCTCCAACCCCAAGAAAATAATATTTCAAAACTTCCTGACCCTTTCCACACTTCTGACATTGCTTAGTTACTCTGCTTGCGCCTTTTAGCTTGAATACTAATTGTCTACAATGGTTGAAAAAAAATATTTGGGCTGAATTTAGAAAGAAAATAACTACTTATCAAAGATGCATTATTTAAGACGACAAAATGAAGGAGAGGAATGAGGGTGCAGACACTCCGTAGTGAATTCTAGGGAGTGACACATAGATTGAGTCGAATAATTTTTCATTCATATTATAATTGATCAAATTTAAATAATATTTTAATCAAATTAAATTCATTAAAAATCACTTAAAATTTAATCCATTAAAAAATATTCAATCCATTTATTGATATTTTTTTTAATGAATGAATATTCAACCCATCCTAATGTTTTAAAAATTAAATAGTTTTTATTTTTGAGATATTTCATTTATTTTTTTGTAAATAATTATATTCCTATATAATCTTTAAAAATTCACAAAAAAAAAATTGTCAAAATAATCTTTTAAAATCTTAATCTAATAAATTTCTCATATGATAATCTAATAAATTTTAAAAAGACGGTGGATGAATTATTAACCATCTATAAAATCAAATTAATGGATTAAATTCAATTTACAATTAACTTCTATTATAATAATTAAATGAAATAAATTTATTTATAGATAAATGAGATAAATGATGAATAAATATATTCATTTGTGTGAATTCTCATTCAAACGCACTGCGGATCTAGGCTACTCACCAGAACCGCTACATTGTGGCGTTAATAGAGACTTTCAAATGACAACATTGTCCCTTCATGTAAAGGGGAGGTTGGCTAGCAGTTCACCACTAAAACAACAAAATTAAGGCATATAAGTCGCTCTTCAATCTGTGGTGGCATTCGGAAGCCAAAAGACGTATTTTAAATGTTCGGTTGTAGTTCCTACAAATAGAGATGCTATGAAGTTGGTTCTACACCATTACTGGTGGAATATGACTAAAAAACGCAAAATTATCTGTTTGTTCCAACTTGGAAAAAAAGTGTTTTTTAAATTAATTCTTTAATAAACAGATAAAAAATTGTTTTTAAAAAATAAAAGTACTTGCTTAATTCAAAGCACACATTTAGAGTACAAATGGTTTATTTGAATAAACTAATCTGAAAGAGAAAAAATAAGAAGGAAAATTAAAATTCCTTCTTAAACCAAAGATAGCACATGTATAAATTAAAAATAAGATTTTAAAAAATTAATAAGAGAACTTCTACAATTAGTTATAAGCTAATTTTATCTTTTAAGAAATTATTTCATTTTTTTAATTTTTCTTTTTAAAAGTATTTTTGGAGAACTCTATGAAAATTGCCAATATACTTGATGACCTATGTTGTTGGCCGCGCTCTCTTTTTAAAAACATTGATTAACATTGTGAAACATAATTGACTTTATATTACTTATATTAATGACGTGTGAATTTGACATTTAAATAGGGGGACAGATATTGCTTAGATTTTTAAACCTAAAAGCAGAAACAGAATAACACCAATTAAATATCAAAATGAAGAAGAAGAAGAACAAAGAAGCCAATAGTTCTTGCCATACAGATTAAATATCAAATATAAGTCATAATAGATTTTATATAATCCCTACGTTCAACAAAAATGTTTTAAAATATATTTGATCTTTAAATGCTGCCACGTAAAGCTATTACAGCCAATATAGAGAAACGGTGATTGAAGTCAATCCGAGAAATGGCTCCGTAACTAGGAATAACGATAAGAGTGCCCATGACACATTTTACACTCTTCTTCTGACAAACTCTATTAAGAATTACAAAATTATGAGTGACACTTATTAAAAAAAACAGAGATCAATAAAATTTTATTTCTAATAAATTTCAATTGATAGTGAAGAATGTGTTGATAGTAAAAAGTGTGTTTAAAAAGAGAATATTGCTAGCATTTTTCGTACAACTTCAGCTTACTAAAGTTCCATGTATCCTTACTATCAAATTATCCATATAAATAATATATAGATTTTCTTTCAATAATAACTGACGTACATTAAATATGTTTGAAAAAAATTTATATAAAAAAAGCCATTTGCCATCATCATTCAATCTGAAAACTTGATACTAACATGTTCATCCAAATAGAATTGAATTCAGATCCCTTAAACACGGTCTCAAATTCGAGTCCTGTAAATGAAAAAAGAAATGATTGAGGAAAGGTACTACTAAAAATAATTAGCCAAATTCTTTGATAAAAATTAATTATTGACAAAATCAATGAAAATTTTATCCAAAAAATTTAACGCAACAAATCCATGAATGAAAAATCAAAAAAGAAGTTCACAAGAAAGACAAGGTTTTTTCACCTCCAATAAACTAAATAAACTAGACTGCAAAATGGACATCAACATTCTTAATACAAATATTTTTGGATAAACAACTTAATTAAGCTTTTGTTGAATAAGTATTTGTCATAGTAAATATTTATAGATAAGTTGTTTCTATAATTGGAAAAGAATAATATTAAACTATTTTTAATATAAATTAAACTATTTTAATAACAACTTATGAATATATCATAAGCTTTAGAGTTAAGGATTTCATAAACTCTCTCAAACACTTGTACTAGTATTTATTACAAGATAAGCTCAACTAAGGTATAAATAAGTTCTTCCAAACATGTGAATCAAGCCAAATTGACTTCTGAAAAAAAAATGCTAAAATTTGACTCAATTATTTAATCGAATCAAATTGAAGTTTTAACTTGGTTAAAAATTTCAAAACTTGAACTTAACTCAGACTTGAACTCAACTCATTAGCTTGTTTAAAGCTTTATTAGTTTTTATCTTTTTTTTCTTTAAATATATACTTTTTTGATTTAGTATTTAAGAAGTAACTTCATGCTTAAAATTAAAGTAAAACTGTAATAAAATATAATTTTGTATTCAGAAAAATAGATTAAGATTATAGATGAAATCTTTGATGACAAAAACAGTGGATTCCTTTGAAGAAATTTTATAATTTTCATTTAAAATATAACTCTTAGAAACTAACATTAAGCAAGTGGTATATATCTAAGATTATAATAAAATTAAATATAACTTTAAGAGAATACAATAAATAAAATTCAACTGTCCAAGCCACATACGCACACATATAAGTTATTTACAAACTATTTATATAAAATCTAGAAAATTTAGACTATATTCATTTAAACCATCAAGCCGAACTATAAGCTTCGGCTTATTTGTTCATTATAAGTATTTAGCTGAACTTGAATAATTCACCAATAACTAAGGTGATATACATCCCTACTCAATATAACTCCATTATCTACCATCGTATGTCGTAATGACCAGAAGAAGTATCCAGGAAGTCTTCAAACACATATAACAAGTAGATAAATAATAATGTATAAGTACAATCTGCAAAATCACTATCTACTTTTGTTAATTGAGCAAGTTATTACTCGTGCTTTGACATTCAATTATTGGCAAAACAAGGTAAAAATTGTAAGAAAGAAACTCACATTATATTTCTACACAACACGATTTGAAATTTAAGGTGGACTTGTGAGATCGAATCACGGTGCTTGCTCTTCAGATTCTTGTTTCTCAAGTTTCTGCACAAAAACACCAAACATTAGGTAAAGTCGTCAACATCCCTCTGCTCAAGGACATTTGACAGTAAAATCACGGCATCATAACAAAATCCACAAAATCAATCCAACACACAGAAACTAAAATTAAAACTAAACTTTGCCAGCATTTGAAAATAACAGAACGCAAAGTTGACATGAGATTCAAGATTTCTACCAAAACAATCATCACAGAATGCATTGCAGAGAGAAATGTAGAAGATCGATTAATCTGAGTCTGAATAGAAAACAGCGTTATATAACACGAAACAACAAATAATTTATCCCCCTACATATCCTCAAAAAGCTACAACATACGTTTCAGAAATTGAATAAAACAAGAATTGCAGAAAAAAGGAACAATCGAGGAAAAGCGAAAACAACATGCTAGGTTATAGGCAGGAACGAATTGATGCAGGAAGTGTTAATTGATTGGAAAACAATCATGCAATGAATAGAAAGGCGTCCAAACAATACGAATCACAGGCACGGACCATAAAACCTAGATTGATTGAAGCGAGTAACGCAATAAGCAGGGTAACAGAGAGATAACGAAAAACTGGAGAGAGATTACGGTTTGAGCATTGTGCCAAGAGAGGCCTCTGTAAACGTTGACGGAGAAGGTGGCGGTGAGGTAAATGGTGGCGATTCCGAGTGTGGCGGTGAATGCCTTGAAAGCATAATCTCCAACCCTACCTGCTATTCCCATTCTCACCCAACTCCACTAGGTTTTCCGCACTTTCCCCTCTATTCTATTCTTCTTCTACTTCTATACCCTAAACCCCCCTCAAATATATATATTTTTGTAAAGAAAGTGTGATGCGGTTCTTCTCAAGCAGATCAATACATTTGGTATTCTGCATTAGCAATGTTTTCAAATTAGAAATAAGGTATAATATTTATTAATAAAAAATCTAAAATATTTTTTTAAAGCTTAAGATTATTTTAGTAGTTAAAAATATCCTTTTAAAAAAAGTATTTCTTCAAAATAAACTAATTCAAATACCAACTAAATAAAATTAGTTTAATTGCTATGCACCAGCACCTAAGAAGATTCACACAAAATGTCGATTATATATATATATATATTAATTTATGAATAAAAGAAGTGTTAATGATAAGGTGTAATCGAATTGGATGGGATCATATCAAATTTATTAATCAAATTTAATTCACCATAATTGGGTTGGATAATTGAATTGATTAATTATAATATTAACATATTTTAAATACATGTTACATGCAATATTAACAACAAAAATGCAATAATGTTCCAAATAAGCAACACTAAGTCACTAGAAACTATTTTAATTACATAGTAAAAAATAAATAACTAAAATTGAAGGGGTGATTATAAATTGAAACTATTATCTTTATTTATTATATTGGTAACCTAAGTCTTAATTGATGTATTATATATGATGTATGCCTTTTATTCTATGTTATGTGTATATTAAATAATTAATATTTTTATTATTAAATTTAGATTAGGTTGAATAGGTTAATCAAGTTACAAATTTCATGACTTGATACTCGATCCAATTATAAATGGTAAATAAAAGAATGTTCAACTCAACCTCATGAATCAATCAAACCTTTTAAAATGTAGTTAAGTTAGGTTGGTAGGTCAAGTTCATGAGTCAATATCAATCACTTACACTTGTAATTAGTAATGCACTTTCAAGCATATTTTTTCTTATTAATTAATTCTACCGTAAACAATAAAATTAAGATAAAGTTGTTTGATGATATGAGACCCACACACGTATGTAATTTTTAATAAATTTTAACCAATAAAAAAGTTATGTCTTAAGAAATTTACTAAAAAACATAATACCAACATTTTTTCCTATAATTAAATGACACTATTAAATATGGTACACGTGAATCATCTTACCTAAATTATTTTGACTTAACTCGTAAAATTGAATTTGGGTGCTAGATATACATTTAAAACAAAAATACCAATAGACGAAACCATTTTTTTAAGATTTTTTTTATTATGTAGAACAAATCATAAATATTTTTAAATTTTATTATAATATTTTTCTTTTTATTTAAGGGGAGAGTCATAATATCTTCTATTTTCGTATTATTGTCACTTTAAATGTTTTAATTTGCCTTAAAATATTTCAATTTGGAAAACAAATAAAACATTAATCTTTTAAATAAATGGTATCAATTTTTATTTTTGATTTTTGATTTGAATAAAATATAATTCAGGAAACGACTATAAGATGAAAAGAGATAAAGTGGAAGTTGACAATGAAAATCGAGAGTGAGAGTTAAGAAATGCCTACTTTAATGATATGATAAGGAAGTGAAATACATTAAAGAGATGAAAGATTCAGGGCGTGAAATCAACGAAAATGATATAATAAAAGTTATTTTAATAATTAAATCTATACTAATATATATAGAGGATACATTTTTTAGTAACTACCTTGGTCTTTACATTTTATTGACCAATATACTTTTTTATTTTAATTTTTTTTAAAAAAATTAATATTTTTAATCAAATTCAAGAACTTAAAACGAATAAATTAATTATAACACATACTTATTTTTATTTTTATTTTATATTTAATAGAGGCATGAAGTGCCTCAACGCCACTAGTTACAATAATAAAGATTAAAATGACCTATATGTTACAACTTTAGAAACTAAAATAACTTTTTCTTCTTCTTCTAAATTTAAAAGATAAAATGATCTTAAAAACTTGAGCTTATGTGCAAGAGTCTACAAATGTGACACGAGTTACTCGATTCTTTATTATTTATCTTTACAGGTGTCATTATCACATTACTTTCATAAAAACAGGATTCAAACATGCTGAAATCTGATCACAAGTGGAGTAAAATATTTCAGACCCCATTGCCTTGTTATTGAGTCGCTGGTTACAAGCAACGGTCAGCAAAACACAGCCTGACTGCACAGTACTTTAAAGCAAAATAGGCAAGCAAAGAAAAATGGAAAATGAAAGGACACCTACTCTTGAAAGGCAAAATAATAAAAAAGCAAGCATTAACGCGAATATAAAATATATCATCAGCAAAATTTGTATTGCAAACAGGACCCCTAGAAAAGGGTAGCAATAGCATGCATATATAGTTATGTTTTATAGAATAATATAATGCTAGCAATTTCTAAGGTAAGGATGAAAGGGAAGTTGATATATAGTAATAATATAATAATATTAACACATTCCACAGCTCAACCAACGTAAAGCATCCTTAAAAACGCCACCTCCGAAACAATAGCTTATTGGATTGTGCTTTGAGTCTCTTCCCATCCAACCAACTCATCAACGGATCTACTGCCACCATTTTTTCTCAGACAAAGATATTAGCTGCCAACCAAATTGAAAAAATATATGTTAGCTTCATCGCTATATTTTAGATGATAAAACATTTTTCTACTACAACCTTGTGATGCCATTTAAAGCTCAAAACAATCACATATATTTGCTATTTTACCAATTCTCCCCTTTAGAAGTTAGATGAACTTAATTCAAAGTCAACGAGAAGTTTGCTTCCAGCAAATATGGGATCCATCATAAAAAGTACAACAATCAGATATGTTAGAACCAGAAGCAAGTATCTGATAGTTTATATTAAACTTTGCCAGCAGAATGGTTCACATACAATAACAATATCTACCTGACATTGGAAACATTTTTATTAAAGTATTACATAACAAGTTTGGATATCTAATAAGGTTTTAAATTTTGTATTAATATGAATCTTATATTTCTGACAGAAACAAGGGAATAACACTATATAGCAGCTCATAAGCAAGCAGTGAAAGTAAAGCTTGCATCAAAAAAACGAGAGACCTCCAGTTTTGCATAACATGCTTTGTTTCCATGTCTATCCTGATAACAAAGTTTATACTTTAATTGCAATTATATGGGAATACAATGAAGAACCAAGTGCAAAGGTCATTTTGAGGGGAAGAAGATGCAATATTACGTAAAGTGAAAATTTCAAGTCTACTCCAGAGAATCTGACTACTTTATTATAAAGAAGGTTAGTGCATCTGGAGTTCCATACATCACACAAAAGTTATATTAAAAAATGAAGAGATTGCTAGAAAAATAGAATGAACCCAAATCATTGCTACCATTGCATTTAATCAATGCTATTACTAGAAAGAAGGTTCTCCAACGACGTCTCAGAGGGGTACAAGTACAACTCGAGATGGGGGAATCAGAAAGCCTGTCACGCTTAGAAAAGTCCATACAAGCAGAGCTGGATGAAACTTGTCTTCAGGAGGAGTACCTATGGTTTCAGAAATCTAGAGAAAAGTGGGTGAGGTTTGGGGACCGTAATACGTCCTTCTTCCATGCTCAAACACTCGCGCGAAGACGGAGAAACAAGATTCAGGGGTTGTTTCTACCAGATGGGGCTTGGCATACGGATCCTGTGGTAATGAAAAATGAGGCAGTCCGGTTCTATAAGGAGCTTTTCTCGAGTACTAACGAACAAGGGCCTTGTTACATGCATGCTGGGGTGCCACCTAACCTGGGGGTTGAGGCCCAAACTGCCTTAACTGCCCCAGTCACGAAGGAGGAGGTTCGTCGGGCAGTGATGAGTATGAAATCGTTCAAGGCTCCAGGGCCGGATGGGTTTCAACCGTTCTTTTTTAAGCAATATTGGCTTATTGTAGGGGAGGAGTTATGGCTTACAGTGAAGGATGCCTTTCGGTTAGGGTTCTCGGACATATCCCTCTTGGAGACACAAATGGTGTTAATTTCGAAGGTGGACCATCCGGTTAGCCTCAAAGAATTTCGCCCTATAAGCTTGTGTAACGTTGCCTAGAAGGTTATTTCTAAAGTGATTGTGGCTCGCCTCAGGCCCTTCCTGCAAGACGTCATTGGCCCATTTCAGGGCAGCTTTATCCCCGGGAGGGGGACTCGTGATCACAGTATTATTGCTCAAGAAGCCATACATTTTGTACGAAAGGACGGTTCAGGTATGGGATCTTTGGCCTTAAAAATTGATCTTGAAAAGGCATATGACAGAGTCAAGTGGGATTTCTTGGAATCGACGCTGGTGCAATTTGGCTTTCCAACCGTCACTACTAAGCTTATCATGTGGGGGTTGAAGAATTTGTCAATCTCACTTCTTTGGAATGGAAGCACACTACTGTCCTTTGTTCCGTCTCGTGGACTTCGACAGGGGGATCCATTATCTCCGTATTTGTTTGTTTTCTGTATGGAGCGTCTAGCCCTCAAGATCTCTGAGTTACTCCAGATGGGTCATTGGAAACCGATCCAGTTATCCCCTGGGGGTTTACCGCTTTCATATCTTCTCTTCGCTGATGATATTTTATTATTTTGTCAAGCTACAGAGGACCAGGCTCGGTTGGTGGCATCGACCTTGGAGGAATTTTCGCGATCATCAGGCTTGAGAGTTAATTTGACTAAGTCTAAGTTTGTGAGCTCTAGAAGGGTTTCACAGAGGAGGATCGAAGCTATGGAGGGCTTGCTCGGGATTGGCCACACGGCTCAGATCGGGAAGTATTTGGGGGTTCCCATGACTCATGGTCAGCCTAGGTGCGCAGACTTTTATGATGTGATGGATAAGATCCAGGGTAGACTTGCGGCTTGGAAGTCCAAGCTCCTTAATAAGGCAGGGAAGCTGTGCCTAGTGAAGTCTACCATCTCCTCTATTCCAGTTTACAGCATGCAAACACTGTGGCTTCCTCAGGCAGTGTGCAATAGAATTTTAAAAAAATAAATATATTTAAATATATAAATTATATTTTATATTTATGATAAGTATTATTTGTTACAACATAATATTATTTTTTTATTGATAATTTGTATTAAAAATATTAAAATTTAATTCATAAGTAATAAATAAAAATTAAATTAGGTATAAAATTAAAAAATATTATAAAAATTCTCTCATCAAAGAAAATTTCTCAGAAATATTATTACACAAAATAAATATTTGTGTTTTATATATTGAAGTTGATATATTTGCTATATATGTATATATATTTATATTAGTTATCGAGTTAGTAGTTTAAATTTTGTCGAGACAAAAATATTGACTTATTTTTATTTGGGATAATATTTTTCAAATTAAATCTTACATATTATTTTAGACGTAGATCGAATCTAAATTGAAACTTTTAAATACAAAATGTTATATGAAAAAAAAAATACAAATAAACTTAATTCCAATCAATAAAAACAATTTATAAACAACATTAACTAAGCACAAATAATAATAATTTGGGAGTTGGAGGGACGGATTACGCTGCCATGGCTGGTGCTTGGAGATTTCAATGAAATTATGTTGTCAACGGAATGTAGGGGTGGTCGCTTCTCGACAGCACGGGCTTCAAAATTTCTGGAAGTTCTGAATGATTGTAATCTTCTTGACATGGGGGCTAAGGGCCTCCGTTTCACGTGGTATAGAAATCAATGTGGGGTCGTGCTGGCAAAGCGGCTAGACCGTGCGGTGTGCAATGTTGCATGGCAAGCAATGTTTCCAGAAGCATATGTTGAGAATTTGTGCAGGGTATACTCCGATCATTGCCCTCTTTTACTGTGGCGTGGAGGCTCAGGAGACAAGGCTCAAGATCGACCCTTTCGGTTCCAAGCTGCTTGGGCCACCCATAAAGGGTTTGAGCAGATTGTTAGGGAGGCTTGGGGCCGTAGCACACCGACCCTTGCTAATGGGTTACAGGCTGTTCGTGTGGATGCCATCAAGTTCAATAAGGAAGTGTTTGGGAATATCATTACTAGAAAGAAGGTTCTCCAACGACGTCTCAGAGGGGTACAAGTACAACTCGAGATGGGGGAATCAGAAAGCCTGTCACGCTTAGAAAAGTCCATACAAGCAGAGCTGGATGAAACTTGTCTTCAGGAGGAGTACCTATGGTTTCAGAAATCTAGAGAAAAGTGGGTGAGGTTTGGGGACCGTAATACGTCCTTCTTCCATGCTCAAACACTCGCGCGAAGACGGAGAAACAAGATTCAGGGGTTGTTTCTACCAGATGGGGCTTGGCATACGGATCCTGTGGTAATGAAATTTTTTTTTTTTCAATAAACAAAGAATTTGTTAAGAAATGAGAAATACAAATGCTAGAGGACAAGAAATCCTCAAAAACTAAACAAAGAATAAAAGGGAAAAACAAAAAGATTAAGAACATGGTGCATGTAACACAGCACGCCAATCTCTGTGAATCTATCAAGGACATCTAAAAAGAACACCATAAAGAAGCTAAGTGAACTACTCAATCCAAAATGAACTCGAGCAGCAGCACCATAGTGAACTACTCTAGCATTTCTTTCCAACCATATACACCAAACAACAGCAAATAGAGAATAAAGCAAAAGCCTTTTAGCATCTCTGTTAGTGCCAAAACCTATAAAACTAACACAGGAACAGTTCTGGAGATCCTTGGGGGAAATCTTCATTAACAAATAATGAAGAGCAAGGGGCCAATGCCAATTTAGGGAAGATAATACATTATATGATGAGAAAAATTCAGTTCAGTACCATTCATGATTCTAGATGTATGACTATATTTATATTTGAAAAAAAAAAAAACATCATGCTGTTTGAAACAAAAAACAGTGAAAAAATTGCCAAAATTGTAGAACCAAGCAAAAGCTTGCAGTTAATCAACATTACAGTACAAAACTAAGGAAAGAGGGTGTTTAAGATGCACGAGACGTTGAGAATCAATCAGTAAAAGTCAACTTGCATTTGACGAAGTAAAATTCCAGGAGAAGCACATCAATTTAAGTCTATGGATAAGTATCATTTGGCATGGGTCATATTTTGAGACAAAAATCATTAGCTTTACTGCATGAAAATTCATGTTTTCAGCTGTCTGATAATTGCCTGGGCAGAACACGTAAACCATATATACCTGATAGGCTTTTGTGAAATAGATATAAAATACTATATATAAATAGATTGCAAAACTCATTAAGTAGCAATGTAGAAACAAATAGAACTAGAGGAAACTTCACCAGAATAAATAATCATAGTCCAAAGAACTGGATTTCTGTAAAGAGAAAATGTTTTTCAATAACCAGAACAATAGTTGTCAATATTGGATAGTGGTCAGAGAGATGGATGTCTTTTATACTGAAGATTACAAGTATAACATAAAAAAATTTATTCAAGACATTCACCAATAATAATTAAGTCATAGTCTAGAGTAGACTCTAGACACACAATCACCATCAATCTAAGGCATATTTGACAAGTCAATAACAACAATAGTCAAGGAATATAAGGTCAAAACAAAAAGTAAAGCACCAAATCCTAAATAAGCATAAGCCTCTAAAGCTTAAAAGTAACTAAACTTTCATATAGGCTTACCTTAATTGGCATCATCATCTCCAAGATAATACCATGGCTGAGAAGAGCAATGAGAACAGACGAACAAAGTAAAAAAGAAAAGGAAAGATGAACAGACAAATATAAAATTGGGCTGTGAAGTGTGAAGTATACTACAGCTAAAAAAAATAACCAAGGGTTGAAGACACAGAAGGTAACAACAATGGCCAGGCTTGGCTAAAATAATTGATGTAATAAAAGGGGTATGATTGGACAATATTTGAAATGGGGAGGCAAATGATTTTGGTTGAAGCCTTGAAGGAGAAGGTTTCCACTTGAAACACTTCTGACCATAAAAAAAATGGTGAAAATCTCTTAAAAAGTTAAGTGCACCATTTATTGAGAGGAAATACCCCTGATTGGAGTTGCAGCAACTGAGGGCCACAATGGCCACTACAAAAAAATGTACGTGATGAGCACAACACTACAATGAAGCTGTGAAACATGCCACAATGACATAATAGCTGCCAAAATGTCTATTAATTACCCAGACCATGACCCTGAAGTCAAGAAATAATTTCTGATGAAATTTGTCTACAGCTAGGTTCAAGTGATTCAATCATCATATTTTTAAATTTTCCTAATTAAACATACAACCATAATTCACTGTTCTTCATAAGAAGATTCTTTGCCTTTGTATTGGAATGCCACATTAATCATCAAAAATGAGACCAGTGGATAGTGAAAGGAAGAATGGGTCGGACTTGAGGAATATCTGGGGACTTCAACAGTAGTTCAAAAAGAACTCGAATAAAGTTATGATCACCAAACATCAACTCAAGATATTTTCTTCACCAAACATAGCAGTATGATAAGAGTCATATAAATCTCTTTAGAGTTCCGTCTAAGTGCAGAAAGAATCAAAACTATATAAATATAAGTATGTGTGTGCATATGCGTGTGATATAGATACACCAAACTTTAAAAGTGATTTTTTTATCTCAACTTGCAATGATAAAACAAACAGAAAATATTACAATGGTTTATTTTTCTTGAAATATCAATTGATATTAATTAGTTCATACATAAGAAAACAATAATGTTAATCCTTATTCTTCCAGAAGATCCAGTAGCTTATAATACAATTATGTCCATGCAAACTTCTACATAGATAATATGGAAGAATACTGATGGTTGTCACATGTCTGCATAAATCAATGTTAATATCATTGTACCAAGTATAATAGTTAAAAACTAACTCAATTTTGATTTGATAATGCCTATTAAACCTATTATGGAATTTATTATTTTACATCTACCAGTGTAAAACACATCAATAAAAAGCCCATTCACGTTTCTACAGCCATGTATTATACAATAAATCAGTTAAAGCAAGCTCCACAGGTAAATAACCAAATTCATTAAAAGACGGCAAGAACTCCTTCATAATTCATATCCAGCTTAAAGGCATGTAGAGGTTTAACAAAGTTTCCAAATAACGTTAAAGGAATTCAACTGTAAGACAGGAAAAGGAACTAGGTGTTGGTGTCAGTATGTCATGTGAAAGCACAAAAAATTATACCAGGAGCTACAAACTTTCTGTACAAGGAGATTTCCCTTTGATTATCTATTTTAGAAGCTACAAAAAATATCCTTCTTTCATATTTTTCCCCTTAACCTATAAAATCTCAAGCACAAACTTTATCAAAGGACAGACTCCCAAATCCCAATCTGTTTCTCTTGTACTTTTGACAGAGGTAGTGAATACTAGAATTTATAAACGGTAGCTTTCTGACATACAGCATAAGTCATGCAGTCCTTTCTCTCGTATAAGCAAAAGCTAAGTCACTAACTCTTAGCATATCTCATAAAATCCTTAAGGCTCTGAAGATTACCACTTACAGAAACTATTTGTCTATTTCTAATTAGGTATACCAAAAATTAACTAAAGATCAGTCAAGGTAATCAATCACTGGTCAGCAACTAAGAACATAACTTTTACAATGCTAAGACCATGTTTGAAAAAGAGAAGTAGGTTATTTAACACTGATACACAATCACATAGTTTGTACAAAAATGAACAAGCAAGGAGAAACAGGCATACTCAAAACAGTGAAAGATAGAAACAAGAATTAACACATATATCACCAACCTGACGAGCAACCTGTGCTAGTCGTCGACTGTCCCGAGATGATTCTGTCATTGTGCAAGACTTATGAGGCTCCACATGTCCATCTTGCTTCTCTCCGCACTTTTTCTTTGAACTGTTATTATCTTGAGAACAATCTACATCATTGCAGCTAACAGAATCCTTCTTACGCTTTCTCCGGAATGTGTACTTCAGAAACTTATCATTTGTAAATCGATTAGAAACCTTCTCATCTAAATCGGATACTTTTGGATCCATTTTATCCAGTGATCCATTAGATGCTTCAACATCTTTACAAGCCGGAACCTCCAAACTTCCTGTGGACAAACTTTCTTGTCTCGTTAAATCTGATTTATCCAACTGTTCGTTGTCATCTTTAGTTTTGTTCTGAGCACTGCAAGCTTTAACAAATACTTCCCCATTTTCAGTATTGCTATGAGATCCTGATTGGTCATTTGATGCAGTTGTGTCTGAGGGAAGATCAGCAAAAGGAGACATCAGATCCTTCTGAACTTCATTTCCGTATGCAATAGAAGAACTCGCCCTTAAGGGGTCATCGTTGTCCAATACATATGGAAAATCTTTTGCACAAGGCAGATGTGATTCTTTATGTGTTTCCTTAACATGGTTAGAATGTAATCTAGATTTAAAAGCCTTCCTTTTCCCAAATTTTCTCTTTTTTCTAACGACTGGAACTTTGACAAGGTCAACATCTTCTTTCACCACTTTAAGTTCATCTTGTTTCTCCTTTTCACATATAATATCAGCTTTGCCATTAGTTGATACAGTCATTGCTTTACCTTCTTCATGTGCACTCGCTAAAGTTTCATCCTGCACATTATCTAAGTTTCCTGAAACAGACATATTTCCATCAAAAAGGCTCCTTTCAAATGCATGTATTCTCTGGGTGCATCCATTTCTGTAGAGCTTGGGCTCTTTCCTCCTAATGACTATGGATGCAAAATCTGGGTTATGAATGTAGCAGTTGTTAGTATGATCATGTGAGCCACATAACTTGCTGCCATCATTTGATCCATTTACAGTTGGATTCCTAGTGTCAGAAATAGAGACAGATTCAAATTGTAAACCAGGTGCAGAATATATAGATCCATCACAAGGATTGAGTCTATTTTCTTGCAGAAAATTCTCCTGAGCTGCAACTTCACCCTCTATGTTTTGTTCAACCGGGGGATGCATTTGTTGTTTTGTCACATTCTCCAGCTCAGCCTGGGTTTCTCTCAACTCTGCCCTTAGGTCTCTAACTATTTCCTCAGCTTCCTGGAGCTGAGCTTCAAGCTCCTCAATCTTCTTCTGCTGATTCAATGAAACCAGTTCTGCTTCACTGACCTGTAAAACTGCCATTAATCAGCCACAACAAGCGATAAGGAACAAGACAGAAATGATTTAACTTGGAGGTCTCCTTTGCTTGGCTTCAATTATAGAAGTTGCTAGGATAACATATTAAATTACTGTTGTGTGAGCATGTGGCATGCAATATAGCGGTAGTAATCTCTCAATGTTCAAAAGTAATTGCATTTGCTATGAGAAAGTTGAATTTTGGGAAAAATACTGAAACAGTTATACAATGTATATTTCTTTATGATTCCCCAGCTGGGGAACAAGTTTAGCATGAAAACATGAAAAGTATCCAGCAATAACCTTGTGCCAGCATTCACAATAAAGTCAGATTCATCCTACAACCAGATGTACATGCAAATTGATGAAGAGATAGGCAACTGCAAAAGTTTGAGCGGGTTCCTCGGGCACAGTCATGAATATATCATATGCTTTCTCAAATGTATATTGATTGCATTCCTTTAATGACCACAACGAATGGCACACACAAAATATAGTCAATCCTTTTTAATTCTTACAAAAAATTTCCCATAAACAAACCCACATTTCATATATTAAAAATACAGTGTACGAGTTAATGATCAAAAGCTTAAAAGACAACAACACTGTAACAATTCTGAAGAACTCTTTGACCACACCAGGATGTTTAAAATGTCTAACATCAACGATAATACGATATTACAGAATTACAAGTCAAGCACAAACAATACTGCCATTCAAGCATAACCATTAGAAAGGCAACCAACACTGAAGCAATTGCAAGGTATCCACAAATAAATAATCCATCTCCATTATCTGGAATTTTCTTCTTTTATCTCATTCATTTGCTCGGAATTTTTACCTTGAACTCTACACAACGGTGCAAGCAATCCAAACCAACCAACTCAGTAAAACGGGAATCTGGAAACATTCTTAATCGGGTGAGAAAGGAAACAACACAACACACAAAACCAACATCACTAGGCACAAGTAGGGTAACAAACTCCAAATCAAACACGAATTCCAAAAAAACAAAACCGAAGCGAAAAAATGCAAAAAATAAAAAAATAAACTTTCGATAAACAGACCCCTTTGGGAATTGTCAAACCTTAGAATCGAACATTTGTTTGAGCCTGAGAAGCATCCGAAGCGCCTCATCCTTGGAGGAAACAAGCTCCTG